ACCCCCAGCCTGCTCATGGGTGGGGTGAGGAGCAGAAAAGACCTGGACACTGCGTAAGCACTGCTCAGCAGTAGAAAACATTACAATATTAGCAACGCTGTTCCCAGCATAAATTCGAAACATAGTCCTGTACTAGCTACTATGAAGAATAATAACTATCCCAGCAAAAAACAGCATGGAGATGCTTTTGTTTCACTACAGTTTGAGGAATTCTTGCTGAGCATAAATTTTTTTTACCCACAATTCATCTGGAATTAAAATTCTTCTGTTAAATTTCTTTCCTACTGCCTGTCAATGTGCTGATGCTCAGCTGAGGTAGTTGGATGACATTGTGTGGTCCAGGAAGTACAGTGTTTAAAAATGGCATGAAAAAATCATCTTCCTAAACTGTTTAATTCTAGAGGCTATAAACCTTTCTAAAATGCAAATTATCTTGGGTTTATCCAGTCTCCTAAGTTCTAAATACTGAGTTAAATAATCATCACCATAAAATAAGTAATCACCCAGCTGAATTTATTAAATGGTGCTGTTATTTCAAAACCTAATTGCAAAATGAATTTCTGTAAATTATCATGAGACCCAGGAATGGCAAAGGTCAGCAAAAGATGTAGCTGGATTTTTTTTGCCTTGGTGTTTTTTGTAGGAGCTAGGATTTACCATGGAGACCATCCTTTTTCATTCAAAAACCTAGCAATGTTTAAAATGAATACAGCATAGGAAATAAATGCATAAGCTTTCCTTTCCAGTTACTTTTACATACTGAAGCTTACACCTGAAGACCTTTAGTCTCTTTTAAGAATGAGTGAGTTGAAGTGACTAGCTATTGAGAACCTATAAGAAGCAGGTAGATTTTATATATTGCCCACAGAAAAAGAATGGATTAGTTGTGTTTGCTCAGGTTTAGCCTTGCTTGCACATACCTGAGAACTACTTGTACAAATCCCCAGGCATTTTGTGCAAGGGGGCATCGAGCAGGACTGCCAGTGCTGGATTTGCTAGCTGGGAAGTGCCTCTCGGCATGATGCCAGGCGGTGCAGTGCTGGAGCTGCGAGCTTGCGCCAGGCCTGGCGGATGGTTAGCTGTCCTGCTGAGCTGCATTGCCTGTGCCCAATCTCATCTTGCTTGCAGGATGAGAAGTGGGATGAGAAGTCATGGAGTGAAAAGAAGTTGAAAGCAGGTTGTTTTTATTGTTAGGCCAATCTGCCTTGGGTTTTTGAATAATAAAGAGAGAAACAATATGAAGGAATATGAATACAAGTCCTGACAGTTTTTACCTGATTTTCACTGATCACAGGGAAGTGTATCAGCTGTCAAATGGAGGTCTGTAAGTAGAGGGACAAGGAAAGAGCAAGAAGTAGCATTTTCCTTCAGTGCAAGTCACCCCAGATTGCTGGGACTGCCATGAACACATTGTTTCTTACATCTGTGCCTTGGGGTAAAAGAAGTCCTGTGGATATCTTCTTCTGCAGCACTGAGGTTTTTCCTTTCTTCTCTCAACCTGCTGCCATCCCCCCAAGAACAGGGGGGTAGGTGGACACCAACCCTTGGGTTAGGTTGTATCTACCCAGTGCAGGGGAGGGAGCATTTCCCCGATATGAGGGCTTGAGATAGGTAGATAGTAAGTCTACTGTGGTAGATGCAGCAATTTCAGGAACGCAGAATGACTGAGAACAACAAAATTGGGAAGGTGGGGCAGGCACCTGTTCGGTTATGGTTCTTTTTTTTTTTTTTTTTTTTTTTCTGTCCAGACAGATCCCACCCTCTGTAGAGGAGATGGGGTTTATCTATAGAAGGTTAAGTGCAGAAACCCCCTATAGCATTTCAGAGCAAGATTCAGCAAAGCACTTCAGTGTGTTAAATTTTTATTAATTTCTGAACTTTTATGCTTGGGATGTTAGCAGAAAGGCATGTCTGAATAAGCGATTGTGAACAGACCTAAGCAGAGTCTGTCTTTACTCTGAGCTGGCAGTTCCCAAGCCAGCCCCGAAGCAAGAGCTGACAGCTTAGTGAGCTACTGAGTCTGGCTCAGACACCTAATGAAATACGTGCTATGTAAAAATTATCCTTTTACATATCTAGTATCTATTGTGTGATATTAAGCATAAATTATTTTCCTGTTCTATTTTATTCCTCAAATACTTATAAATCCCGTAGAGCCATTCATAATTAAGCATTGACATGTTATTCATGTCTCTTTCTCTTTTTTTTTTCCTTCTCTCTGTACTCTGCTTCCCATGTTGTCATAGTGCTTTCTTAAACTTTAGGAAGCCCCTCTACATGTTTGCATTTGTCACTGCAGGTTACTGTACAGTAAGTTCATGTCCTAGAAGGATTCAAGGATTCCTCTATAGCTGAGTGCAGGAAGTTCAGTTCTTTGTCAGCTTCTTGCCTCTCTTGCTGCCCATTTTAAGCTTTGTTCATGCACTAAGTAAGACTGTAGTGCCTTTTCCTATCTGGGGCCAATTAGTCTGGGCTTAATCTGGTGAGATAATCTTGTACTGTGGCCCTGGACTGACCACCTATGCATGGTGAGGTTGGTCTGCACATGGTGTGTGAGCCTGGTGTTTTCCAGGTGTGGGCACGCTGAGCACGTGCTACCCAGGCATATGCTTGGGGAGTTCCTCTGGTTCCTGGGTTATAGATCTTACTGGGGATTGGCTGCTGCTCTCACCAGAGGAAACCTTCTTAGGGAAGGGAGTAGCTACAGGTGGGCTGTAGGACACATTGTCACAGAGCCTGTGCTGTTACATGTCCTTGCATCCTAGGGATTTCACAACCTTGTAGTTCAACCGTGTCCCAGGCTGTCTACCTCCTCGAGTAGATACCTCAGAGTGGGGAGTGCCTTGGTCTTGTTGTCTTGGTCTGGCTCTCCCAGCATACTGGTTGCACTCTGTGGGGTCCCTGTAGCAGCTACAGTGTCTCCAGGCAGGGTCTTTTACTGTACTGGGATTCAGGCACGAGCAGTAGAAGTAATGGGCAACTCTGCTCTTCCAGCAAGTTGTTTCTGTTCGACATTGCTGGTGCCAGGTCTGTGTGCCTTGGCTCAGCATGCAGGTCCTGCTCTATCTTGGCACAAAGAGTGCTTCTCTGTATACTGTACTATCTTCCTCGGTTCTTCTTACTCTCCTGCCTGAGGGGAGATGGGCCCTAGGATGGGAATTACTGTTTCTACTTCCACATAGGAAAATCTTTCATAAGGCAGTTTTAAGTAACGTGAGTGGTGGTGGCAGCTTGAATTTCTTACTGGATTGGGTCAGTGCTTTTGCCTTTTTTCCTCTCCTAAGCCTGAACATATTAAAGGTGAGACCGAGACAGTTAGGCTAAGCGTAAAGCTACACACTATAGTATTTTTCAAACGATGACTCAGGAATCTGCTGTTGGGCTGTGTATGGCCTGTAGTTCATGGGCAATTAATTGAGTGCTTTAGCTGTGACTAGTATATTTTACTTAACAATTGCAACAGATTTGGAGCCTGCTGGGTCAGCTGCTGATAACCTGATTGTCTTTAATTATGCAAATACACCCTCAGATATTTCAAAATGAGGGCATCTGGGCAATGGAGGGGTGGAAAGGAAGGTGGATACAAGTATGTATATACGTATATGCATGCAGTTGCAATTTCTTCTGTTGACCAAACCTTATAGGCACTCAGATACATGAATCTACTTAAGGTTTGTCATATCAGGCCTATGCAAATAGGAGTACTTTCAAAGGGAAGTTGTAAATAATTGCAGTTGTCAGCCTCCCTCCATCTCTGCTCTCCAAAGCTACAGAGGAGAAGTGATTGACCAGCTTTGTTATTCAAAGCATTTCCGTTAAGAGCTGGATCCTGTGGGAGATTCCTCTTAGAGCAGCTTTCCTCTGTGGTGGACTCTCCTGACAAGATCACAGACGGCTTTTGGTCTCTGAGCGTCATGATGAACATCTAGTTAGGTCTATTTTTACATCTGAAATATGTTGAAAGATGCTATGGTGAGAAGTAGTAGTACAGTAAGATTTTAAAGTAGTCTATACAGGGTAATGCTTTTGGGGACAGTATGCATTTTCCTTCCTGTTCTTGAAATTTCTTATGTCTATAAAATACTAAAACTTGAATTAGCACCAAGAAAATACTCATGACCATACAATGTCTTGATTTTCTCTTTTTGCATCAAGATTGCAATTCTGTGCTTTATAGCTGCTGTGTCCTTTTCAGCTTCTAAATTTTCCAGTAAAATGAATCCATTGCAGTAGTTGCTGCTAAACAATTAATTGAGAAGAAAAATAAAGATACACCTTAAGCTGTTTTCCCTTATTGACTTACTGTTCTTCACCTTTTTATTCTGCCATAAGTGCAGGGCCAGTGTCAGAACAGCCTTTCAAGGCATGAGAAAGAAAATACTTTGGCTTGAGAAGGTGGTCAGGGAAGTGGTTGAAGAGGGGAGCTGGTGGCTGAAATCTCAGCTGCTTAATTACTGGTTTTGGTAGGAATTGGGCAACTGACAGTTTTGACCAGCATATACCTGGGTTTAGAGTGACTGACACTTTACTGAGATTACAGACACCAGGTTTTGTTGCAAACTGTTGGTTCTGGTATACAGCTGGGATCCTGGCTGGCAGGTGAGCTTCATCAGACCTGCTGAGCTTGCTGATGTGGCCTTGTCACGGGTTGGGAGGTGACGGGTACCTACTCAGCGTGCAAGTGCTGAAGTATCTCGTCATCTCTGCATGTTGCCATGTGTTTGTAGCTTGCCACATCCTTACAACCTGTGAGGCTGGGTGCTGTGGATGGTGTCTCAGCACTTGTAAAATGGAGCGAGCTTGACTTGCTTGGGTGTAGAGCTGCTGTTTGCTCTAGTTTTGGAAAGAAAGGGATGGAATGTTGCTTGTTGATCACCACTCTGTAGGTGTAGACAGCCAGTCCTTAGAAGCTTACTGCTTGTAAGAGTTGTGGTATTGAGGCAGGATGGTGATGTGATCTATTAATTTTACATCTTTTGTTGTTTTCTTCTGCATTCCAGGAGGGGTGCTTGTGGCCTTCAGAAAGCTCGGTTTCACGCCAGGGTGCTTCAGAGGTACAGAAAGATTTCTTACTATCTTCACCAACATACTTTCCTCTTTCCTGTAATGTTTATTTGGGTTTTTCAAAAATATGCATCTATTCAGTAAATAAAGCTTTTTTTAGTGTAGACCAAGAGCCAGGTTCTTTTGGATATCTGAGCCTGGCTTAACTAGTGTTCCATAAATGCCTAAGAATTTTTCATTAAAAGAACAAAATTCTGCTTGCCTGACACCTCATTTCCATCAGGAGCTCCCTCTATCATAGTAGTCATTCACAGGTACGTGGTAGAGGTGTTTCTCTCATGCAGTGGCTCAGTAATTTGAGTGTTCAGTGGAAGCTGGGAGACCACTTGCTCTTCTCCCTGAATGTTTCTTGGATTTACAGCACACATCCTCTCACCATTGTCTCTCAGCTAGCAAGATTCTTGGTCTGTGGGATAATTTATGGGTGTATTGTTCCAGATGGTCCAGCTCTCCAGCAGAACTTCCAGGCCCTGCACCCTGTGAGGGTCAGGGGCTAAAGACCCCCGCACGGACCCAAAAATGAGAAGAGTTGTTTGATAGATCTAGATCTAAGAAGCTGATGTGTCTGTCTAAGATCTGGGATAGACCAAGTGAGAAGCAATAGCTTCTCTCAGAGTATCTTGAACTCTTCCAGGCCTTTATTTGCCAGGGACATGTTTTCTACTCACAGTACAGAAGCTTTGTAGGTCCTTCTGGGAGGCTGAGTTCTGGCTGAGAACTGTGGGGGAGGAGGACACCTGATACACTTTAGTAGTGAAGGCGTGAGAATATGTTGAGCCTTCACAAAATGTACTAAAATGGCCATCTGAATTCATTGGTGATGCAGGGTATTACACTGAGTAGGAAGGAGAGACTCAGACTGCAACTGAAATTCAGTATTGGGACATTTTTGTAGAACTAGTCAGTTGTTGAGAGTAGAGGGAATGTGTTTTCTATGTTCAGAGAATTATTTTCTCTTGGCTCTGCATGTTTTAATGTCAGAGGAGTTGTGTGGTGTCTTGGTCTTCCTTTGTGAAGCCATTCTCAAGCATCTTGTTTTACATCCTTCATGCCACTGCTACCTCTTTTTTTCACATGCATGTGTGTGGGAGCATGTGTGCACAATATCTCTGGGTTTAATCTCTAATATAGGTGGCAGAGAGAAGCGTTTTGCATTTTCAGTCCTTTGTAAACACAGAGCACCCTCAGTGCTTTGCTGCGACATGGAGTCATGTGTGTATCTCTTCCTGTTTCAGATCATGTATGCTCCAAGGTCCAGGGACAGGTTCACTGCCCCGTCTTTTATGCAGCGGGACCGTTTCAGTCGCTTCCAGCCCACTTACCCTTACATGCAGCATGAGATTGACCTTCCTCCGACCATCTCCCTCTCTGATGGGGAAGAGCCACCGCCGTACCAAGGCCCATGCACCCTGCAGCTCCGGGACCCAGAGCAGCAGATGGAGCTCAACCGGGAATCCGTCAGGGCACCGCCCAACCGAACCATTTTTGATAGCGACTTGATAGACATCTCGATGTACAATGGGGGCCCCTGCCCACCAAGCAGCAATTCGGGCATAAGTGCAACCAACTATAGCAGTAATGGAAGGATGGAAGGACCACCCCCGACATACAGCGAGGTCATGGGGCATTACCCAGGCTCCTCTTTTTTCCATCACCAGCACAGCAACGTGCCTCCTTCCTCGCAGAGGGGGAGCAGACTTCAGTTTCAGCAGAACAATTCAGAGAGCACAATAGTCCCCAGCAAAGGCCAAGACCGGAAACCAGGAAACCTGGTCTAAGTTACTCGCCCAGGTGCATTTGAACTGAAGACAAGATTCAAGCAGGGTGGTGGAAGAAGACCCCTATGCTCCGGTGCACAATGTTGTTACGTTTCACGTGGTACAACTTAGTAAAAACCAAACGTGCAAACCAGTTCTTTGTTTCTGATTCCTTTCAGGGGAATTGCATGCAAAGCAGATTGAAAGAAATACAAATACAAACTTCCATTCAGTTTGTCTACAAGCAGTGTTTCAGGGGAGAGGGGGGGAATATATTATTTTTTTTTAATAAACTATTTCAATTATTTAATTCTAAAAGTTAACTTAGCACAGAAATGAGGCTTGTACAGCCTGTTTTATACTCACTGAATGGCAGAAGGAAGAAGGTGGTTTTGCTAGATGAATGGGGGAAGAATTGGCCAGTTTGCTTTTTTTTTTCTCCCAGGGTGTGGATTTTTTTAATATGAAACAAAATTCCTGTTTTGTGTGCCAAGGTATAAAGTTGAGAACTTAGATGAATGCAAGGAATTAATTTGTGTTGTGATAAATGTGTTTTAAAAAGTTGCACTATCTTAATGTTTTAAAAAAATATATATGAGGGAACTGTTTTATGTGAAGTTCTTCTATATGTTGTCGTTTCACCTGTGGAATAATGATAGAGCCCCAGAAGGAATCTGGAGGAGTTTTCCCCCCTCCCCCTGGGTTTGCTAGAAAAAGGGGACAGGACTTAGCCTAACATCTCTTGACTTTTACAAATCAAGAAATACAGGGACACTTGTCTTTGCAATAATTTGCATTCAAATAACAGTGCATCAGTGAAGTGTCTTGGAGACTTTTGGATGGAAGAAGGCAAATATGAAATTCCAGCATTTTCCATCACTTAGGGTTTAGCTGTTTTGCAGTGTAGATTATTTTGTTTCATAAATGGCAAAACAAAATCCCAGATGTGTTAATTTGTATTGATTCTAACTAAGTGCTGCCATTCTTTTCCTTTTCATGATGCAGTATCGTCAGTACTTAGAGTTTTAGAGATTTTTGTCCTCGCTGTAACCTGAAATGTGTTTAGTCACATATCATGACATTATGCAATAAATTGTTTAAAAATGCAGGGTGGGTTTTTTCCCCTGCGATGCTGTTAAAATACGTGAGACTGTTGTGCTTTTCGCTCTCCATTTCATCCTTTAGATACTGAAGTTCAGTCCTGGAGATCCATCCTGTTGAAGCGAAGGGGCCTTTGTAGCTATAAACCCCTCCGTGCAGTTTCCGCAGCAGTACCGAGAGCAGTCGTGGCTGGCTTCTGCGGCGTCCCTGGCAGCGATGGGAGAGCGCCAGTTATTCGCACTGCAAACCATTTTGCTCTGGGCCCTGTTGCGGAAACTCTCTTCCGTGCATGTCATCCGGCCGACGCCAGCAGGACTACGCTCATGGGTAAAGATGACTCGTGTGTTAACTAAGTGTCTGTAAGCCCTAGTTTTGCCACGTTGGTCTTAAGAGTAGTTGGAAAATGTTATCTGCCTGTAACGTGGCATGTGGGGTGTTTCTTCCCTGGCTGTTCCTGCGTGGAAGCACACGTGATGCTGGAGGGCGGTTGACAAATGGTGATAGTGGCATCACAAGCACATGAAAAAGCACAACTTGCACTTAAAATGCAGTTTGGAAATGGACTTAAAGTAAGAACATTTAGAGTCTTAGCTTGAGTAGTTTCTAATATATATGTGTATGAGTGTGTCATAGACCTTTTCACTTTAAGAACTTTCACTTTTTTTCTATTAAGCCTTGTGCTTGGTTATGGGCAACAGCCGCTGTGTGCCCAGAGGGTGCTGCAGAGGAGTACGTGCCCTAGCACCTGATCCCATAGCTGGAGGCTGGATTTCTGCAGGACTTCTGTACACCGGGGGCTCTGATAACTGAAGTGCATCTTTGATCTATGCAGAGTTTTAATGCCAAAACAGTGTGTGTGTCTGTGTGTGTGTTTTATGGGCCTCGGTGTAGATTATTTTCTTCATAAGGTAATTTGGTTTTATTCTAGTTTAGAAAACATTTGTATAACTGTCAGTCTGAATACGCAGCCTCATTTGTCTCTAATTGTTTTTTGGTCTGAGTCATGCTGGTAATGGAGAGTACAGCTGCCTTTTAATTTATGTATTTGAAGGGAGAGATAGAGACTGTATGGTGGTATTCACTTTTTTATTTCCACTCAGACCCACAGGACAGGTGTTTAGGAGATGACTAGATGGCTGTCAGTCAGCTAGGGCTCTTGTCATGTCTGGTTCCTGGGAATAAAAGCTGTGAAATTAGATTTTTACAAACAACTGATAAACGGAATTCTTAGTTAAACAGAAGTTAAAAATAAACCAGCAAATGTTGGGTTTGGTTTCAGTGATTTTTTTTGTTTTGTTTTTTTGGGGTTTTTTTGTTGTTGTTGTCCTTCAGAAGTGAGCTTTTAAGCCAGAGAATGTGTGCCTGCATAGCTACTGTGCTGTTGCCTAGAGTAGGATTATTTAGTGGAGAACTCTTCAGGTGAGAACAGCTGGAACTTGTTTGTCATGGCAGAGCACACCTGGACTGGGCCCTGGGCTTGGACCGGTTGAATACCAACTTTTCCCCATGCACAGATCTCAGTGAGCCTTGAAGTTGCCTTCAAAGTCACCTCTTGGGAACATGCTTTCTTTGAAGACAGCCCTTTGCCATCTTCTGCCATCTGCATGCCAGTGGATTTATGCACTTCCCATTAACATTGTCCGGTATGATGTCTGCACTGTTGTCTCTTAATTTTTCTTGACTGAGGAAGTTTTTCTTTGTGTGGAGAATGTAACCTGTTCAAGTTTTGTAGAAAAGATTTGTTTAAAAAGAACTTAGTATTTTCTCACTTAGTTGCATTTTCTCTTGCGTCTTTGCCTTCTCATCGTATTGTGCTGTCCACAGCTAATGTGCAGCCAGTATATCTGTCAGCTCTTGAAAGTGTAGTCACCTGTTGCTTGCTATAGGTGAGCTTACAGTTTGCTACTTTCATTTTGGGGCCACTTATAGGAGTAAATATGGTATTTTCTGATGAATGTTAGTGATCTCCTATAAGAGTGCTGTCAATAGTATAGTGTATTTTTCTAGTTTTTCTTTTGTTGCAGTGAGAGAATATGCCCCTGCTAACAGAGCAGCATGGTAAAAGGAGTATCAGAATTAGATAGCACTATCAATCTTTACAGACTTAGAAATTGGCAATCTTTGAAGATAGGTAATTCTATGAAGCATTTATGGAAAATTCCCTTTGAAGATATCCAGAATTAATAAATTGTAATCCATTGCCACTCAAATGAAGCTTTATAAATTACAAAATACTTCTGCAAACTTTGTAGAGCTAATCATGTAGATTATACCTCCATACTGATGTTCCGATTTATGTGTATCATGTATAAAACCCACATAATATGTGTGTGGAGCTTTCTGTGTGATGAATCATATTAGCCTGAATTCTGGCTGTATCTCCTGGTTTGCCTGGTAACCCGTCTTCCCAAAACTCAGTCCAGTGGTGTCCCCACTTCAGAAAAAAGAATTTTTTTTTTTTTTTTATTGTACCTTTAAATAAAGCATTATGACCTCTGTCCTATTGCAAAGGTTAATTTTTCCCTTATGTGGCTTGGCATGGCTCCCTTCTTTGTGCTAAATATGCCCAATCTTTGACGTTTCGCTCTGATCTTGCAGGCCTAGAAAAGGCAGGGGATTTAGCAACATAAAGAGGTTTCTTGCCTGGTTTGCCGGTGGAGCACTTGGCTCTAATTCTGGATGTATGTTTAGCGTGTTTGTGGTTGGGTTCATCCCAGTGCTGTACAAGCAGGCTCTGGGTATGTGATGCTGCTTGAAAGATGTGAGGAACACGAAGACTATTACCCAGTCAGCAGAGCAGTGTGCAGGCCCCTTTCCTGTAGCATGTGGCATGTGCAGTTTCATGGTACTTTGCATAATTTGTCACTTTGTCAGGGAGGACATACTTAAGCTACTCCCACTGATGAACTCTGCACTTAACCCAGTCTGTCTGATGTGACTTTATTACAGCATGCTTTTTCCTTGTAAGTATGAAAACTCAGATGCATGCCCCATGTACAAGTTCTTGATGGCTAGTGAGGAAGGTATTTATGTTCCTGCAGTAGTAGAATCTGCAGGAACCATGGGTCAAGCTATGTTTCACTTGGCTTTTTATTAGTGTTTGCCCACTTCTCCCACCAGTTTGTCCCAGCTAGAAGCTGCTTCTGTTATCCCAAAACTTGGAATTTTTGCAGAAATTAAATAAAGTGTCGCTAAGATTTTTTTTTTTTTTTCCTCTGTGAATGTGGTTCAGGGAAGAGCAAGAAGTGAAATGACACTGTATCTGAAAGAATGCACTTTTTTTGCAGTAGGGAAGAAAGCCTTGCCCTGAGGTAGAGTCCTGTGTTTAGGCTGTCTGGAACAGCACTCTCTGAAGTGGTCATTTCTAACCCTAACAGGTAGTGAGTGAGATACTGGACCATAAAACTTATGCTCTGATCTCTAAGGAATGTTTGAATGGTTTGGGGAAGATTAATTACTAACCTTTCACTGACTCTGAGCCCTGAACGTTCATGGTAACTAAGGTTACCTGATTTCATAGGCAAAGAAAAAGAAAATAGTATGTTGGTGAAAATGGATATGCTCCAAAATTTTTTTTGCTGTATTTTTATTTCCTTCCCCCAAGGATAAACAGTAGGCTTGCTGATATATTTTAAGGTATTTAAGATTATTCACAAGTTCTCTCTAGTTGTTACCATTAAGTTATGTCCATGCACATGTGTGTGTATACATACCTGCATGCAAACTTGTGCCTGTATCCTACTACTACTCTGTATATTAGTTACTCTTCCATAATCACCTTCCAGAAGTGGCTATATACTGTGCTCTCAGGAACAACAACAACAGGTCATTTGTCAAACAGCTGGAAGCATGAGAATATTTGCTTTTCAGACCTGTAAATGTCATGGCCCTGATTTTATCAATAGGGGAGTTTCTTGCTGTGCACATTCTTGCCTGTGACCTGGTGGGCTAGCGCATCTTCCATCCAACAGCTCTCTCCTTTTGGGTGAGCTGTGAAAAATCCTCGTGCTTTCAGGACAACCCTAATGTAGACCTCATGTATTGATGTACAGGAAGGAAATGTACTCATGTACTCTAAATCTCAGAAGCATGTTTTTTCAAACCTACCTGATGCTGAGAATCAAGTGATCCATTTGTACAGTGGGTTCAGATGAAGGCTGGCTTTTCATTACATCTTTGATTTTTAGATAAAGGCTGTTGCAAATAATTTAATTACACATACCTGGTCTTTTCCATCACTATGTTGCCTGCTTGCCAACCAGTGCAATTACAACTTTTCTCTTAAACTAGCCCCAAGTATGTCAATTGTTTAAATCCCTGAAAAGACAGACTCCTACTGAATTGTCTGAGACCTGTTAAGGCCTTTTAAAGCACAGAGGAGTCCCTTGTGAGGACATGTTGAACTTACAGATACTTCCTGTCTGAAGACTGTTCTGTATGTTTCATTAGGAAATTGAAGTCTAAAGTTTTTAGAGTGGCCCAGCTGAAAATGTTGGTAAGATTTTTATTTTTTTAAATACTTAATACATTGTTTGCCAGCCTGTGCTTATTAATTGGGTGTAAATTACATTTTGACCCACCTCCAATTGCCATTGCTATGTTAGAAAAAGCCCAATTGGGCACACTTGCACCAGCAAAAAAGAGTAATTTTCTTAGTACAGCTCCTCTTGGGGAATTAGGAGAAGCTGCACCACCAAGTTCAGCCTCCAAAACCAGTATCAGACCTGCACTGCCTCTTCCCAGCAAACTCAGGTGTAGGTGGCAGCTCAGTTCCAATCAAGTGCTTTACCACACTATTAGCACCACAGATGTGCAGTGGAGGAGGCTACTGGTGTTTCCTTGAAATTGTGACTATTTGCATTAAACAGTTGTCAGGGCTGCTAAAGTTGCTTTTGTAACCACTCATGTATCTTTCTGCTATTTTGAAAGGGAAAACCAAGCATGATTTTATATTGAGAAGTGTTGCAAAGTCTCCTGGCTCTTACTTCTGCCTTGCTGTTGTGTCTCACATTTTTAGACTGAACACAAGCAACCTGGGTATTGCTAGCATCGCTTTCCTGCTATAAAAGAGCTTACCTTTTTATGTTGGTTAACAGTAAAGAAACAAACTTGTAATTTAGATACTTCCCTGTTTCTTCTGACAGCCGTGTGATTTACTGCCAGAGATGACTCTGTCGTTTCTTTGCTATATTGCTGCTGCTGCCGCTGCTGTTTTAAATGGTTTGGTGTGTGAGCTTTCTGAAACAACGTGGTGTGTGTAGGATCTTGTGGGTGATAAAGCTGTCTCTTTACTTCTTCCTTTCTCTCCTTGGTTTGTGCTTGTCTGTCTGCCGTGGTAGGCTTCTTAATAAATTATATACATCCGTATTAGATATAATTTTGAGGAGGTTTGCATGTTGGTAGTTTGTAAGCAACTAAGGTGCCTCTTGTTCAGGTCTGAGCAGATAGGAATCCCCTTGCACTCGAGAGGGCCTGATCCAAAGCCCAGTGAAGTTGGTAGGAAGACTCTTGCTGACTTCAGGGGGCTTTGGATCAGGCCTTACGCTCCCACCTTTGTTGTGCCTCACTTAAAATGGTGCTTTTTCAGTTGTCTGTCTTTTTTTCTGTTCGTGTTTTTTTTTTCTTTGTATGGTGCTGTGTATAACTTGAATATATTATGCACATATCCTACCCAATGGGTAGAACAAACAAACATACAAAAACAAATAGATGTTGTTAATACTGTAAAATAATGTATAGCTTATACCAATTTTAACACAAAAAAATGGCATAGACTTTGTGAATGCCAACTTCTGTGCTTGGTCCTTTTTTGTAAGAAAATTTGCAAATGAATGCATACAAATGACAAAAAGTCTATGTATTTTATTTTCCTATTAAAAAACAATATAATGTCATAAGGGAAAAAGTTAGAACACATCCTTTTTGAGTAGCCTGTGTATAGCAGTTAGTCGTTTGATGCATCTTTGCTGTGAAGATTTGTTTGGGGTTTTTTTTTTTAAATGTGTCACTTTAAGAAAAAGGAAAAAACACAAAACCTCCACAGCTTTAACCTTGCAACTAGATGCTTCTCGTATTGGTTGTTGCCTCGCTATTGCTGAGTTGGACCAGTATTGGTTACTACTTCTCCAGCAGATATGTTATTTATTACTACCCTTGATTACCTTTTTTTCTTCTTCTTTTAACTTAGAAATGGGCTAAAACCTTTCGAATCTTTTTATCCACATCCTAGATTTGAAGTGAAGCTCAGACAAGTGGGGACTGACTCAAACCATCCCTGCAAAATCAAAACTAGGCTAACGAGTTTTGTGGCAACAGCCAGCCCTTGCTCTATGCCCACTACTGGTACACAATTCTGCCACTGCAAACTGTCCTAAGGCTTGGTGTATAGCTGTGACTCGCTGATGACCTGTGTAGCTGCAGACGTGCAAGCCTTAAGGAGGGACAAGAAAAGTTGCAGTTGGTAGCGAGCTGAATGCAGGGTTTGAGCGTGAGCTTTGAGTCGGCAGCGCTGCTGCTGCGTTGGCCTCTGACAGCAATGGCTTAACCCAATTTCATATTTAAGATCATGGAGAAATGCCTAAACCTGTTCAGACCCAATGCGGGAAGCAGTGTGGAAAGTAATTCAGCACTTTCTGCCAGACTCCCTCGGCAGTTTGGTTCTTCCCCGATGTCGCTGCGCATTTGGCTGTCTCTCCCCATGCGCTCCCGGTGCGGCCTCTTTGGTAAAGCAAATACCTCAGGAAAACTCAACATGAAGTTCTAGTGTAGAGACTTGCAGATGCTGTACTTATTTTTCTAAACTGTTTGTTCTAACTATCCCAGGATGGTAGGTGATATAAAAGTTTATTGGTCCGAGACAGACTAGTCCTCTCACAGATGGATACTGACTAATCTTTCGTAGATACTCGTGTCTATATGTAGCTTTTTTATACTTGTCAGGCTTTAACCACAGATGTAAGGTAGCAAGGTGTTGGGATATGTTTGAGATGGCATTTTTGTTTGGTTTTACAGATAACTAACTAAACGCTATACTAAAACTCAGGGGGCCTTATCCGGGGCCCAGTGAAGTCAATGGTGAGGCTTCCTCAGGTTTGAGTGGGCTTTTGATCTGGTCCGTCACGCTCAAGGATGGTGCCTTGGAGCACAGTCCTTCACGACTTCTCTGTCAACCTGAAACTTCAGCTACACGTTTGTCTGTAAATATCTTTTAAAGTCCTCACAGGAGTCCTGTATCTGAATGTTGATCATGGTTGCTTTGAGGTTTTTTTGTTCTAAAGAAGTATGTAATTTTTTTTTATGGCCAGTTCTGCATCATCAAGCCCTTACAGGTAGCTTGTATCCATCCCTCTATATATTGAGCTGTTTTATCGGTGAGCATGTACCATAGGCAAATACTCATATTTCATGACTGTCATCCGTTAACTCATTTATTGTTTGTCAGGGCATAGAGTAATTGTTTTGGAAGTATACCTTGCCTGGCCATGTCCGTGTTTCTGTTTGCACTGCAGTACCACTTCTGTGCATGAAGGAAAAAGACAAAACCAACCAACAAAAAACCCCAGGCCTTTGACTAGGAAGACTAGGAAGACAGAGCAAACCTCCCACTGGAGGAATCTAGAGTAGGATTTATCATAACAAAACTTGCATATTGAGTGGACCAAACATGAGCATGTCTCCTTTTAGAGGCACTAATTTGCTTTGAAGCTGCAGTGGAAAGAGCAGACTATCTATTAAGTGTATTCACAGCTGTGTTCACGCTTTCCATTTACCACAAAGCACAGCAGGCAGCCAAGATTTTAAAAGAAGTATAAGCAGAAGTTATGAGAGCCTCAGGCATCATAGACCTGGACAGCAAAAATAATAATAATAAAAAAATTCACTTTAATATTCTTTAACAAAGCTTTTCTACTTATAGAACAAAGACTACATAAGCATCAATAGGGGTTTTATCTTTGTATAGCTATCAACTGCCCAGTGCTGCTGTGCTCAGAGCATTTCACGATGGTATGTACATCAGTCAGGCTGTTACACTTAAAATTAACCATCAAATGCCTGTTTTTAGAGTGTTGACCCTTCCTTTGTTGTTTCTTGCTAGTTATTTTACAGTGTAGAATTTATTACTGTATGGATTTTTTTGTATTTCCAACATTGTGGCTTTCAAGATCACATTTTCAACACATCTCTTATTTTTGTCCATTTTGTTTCAAGCTATTCTGAAATATGTACAGCACTATCAACACTATTTAATCTTTCTTTTAAATTGATGTAAAAACAAAGCTATTAAAAACAGTAAGTCTTTTTACAACTGTATTGGAACTTCTCAATAGCTGTTCATGTGATGCTGTTACAAACCTGGCTTGCTTTAATTTTTTAAAAAAATTTATTTTCCTTTTAACACAATTAATTTGTTGCTTATTTTCCACCGTAACTCCCAGTTATATACAGGAAAAGATTTCAACTGTTGTGTATCTGACTCTTTTAATTGAGCAAATGGTGATGTCCTAGTTTTTAGACCTAAGGTCTGTTTATTGCAATACTTTTAAAGGAAGATGTTGCTCTAAGTGCTGTTGTTAGTTTTAAATACAGATTTTATGCTTGTTCTTAATATGCCGTGGTTAAACCATGGCACAAAATTATTAAAAATCATGAAATGCATTTGTCTCCTGTTGATTTTATTTTCCTTCGAAGTGAAAATACAAAAACCAACAAAACGAAAAAGGTGAAACACTAGACAGGCCTTCTGTAAAACTTGTGTTTCTCTCTTGCTAGTTTGCTGATGGCAACCAGGTACCTGATTGTTAAGGAATCAGAGGGTGAACTCAATCCTTGAAGCATATGGGAGGGCCCTGCGAAACAGATGTCTGATGAGGATTTTGTATCTGTGGTCTAACCCTCAACCTTTGGTGATTAATACTGGGGTGATTTCAGGTGTATCTGTTGTAGGATGGGCTGTAGCAGGAGGCAGCTGTGTCAGAGCACCTGCCTTGTCACCCACTGTTGTTATTGTCTAGGCACTTAATCTAAGCTACTTGTGATTTCAATTCCCTCAACAACCCCACCTCAATCTCATTTAAAGCACCTGGTGTTGGTGACTGCTCTGGCACATCAGGGCTGGCTGACCAGCTGGGGGATAAGCAGAGGCCCCAAATCATCAAGCTGCAAAAACTGGTTAAAAAAATTAAAGAACTGGCTCATGGGAGGGGGTTTTAAGAAACCTGGGGCATGCTTTGGCCAATGCTTAAAACAAGAGAGGAACGATACAGTTAGTAAGAAACTAGAGAAAAAGGTCCTGTGGAAGACACTTGTGTTTGGTAATACAGATCCTTGCAAGATCAAACTATTCCTGGCTGGTACCAGTCACTTTGCTATACTAAAGCTTAACAAAACTAGGAAAGACTTGACTTTTTTTTTTTTTTACAGAGCAGTTAATTTCTGTTCAAGTATAAAGTGCTTTATTTAGTATGATTATTAATGAAATACTTCTCTTGTATATATTTTATACCTGTGCCTGTGCTTGCTGGAGCTTGATCTTTCTGTTGTTGAGATGCAATGCTTGGAGGGAAGTAATGATTCAAACCTGGGGCTTTCTCACAGGTCTTTTCAAGAAAGAGAGGTCTGCTCGGAGCTGCAGTCCCAGCCCATTTCTGACACCCTGCTCACAGAGCAGCCTTTATAATACCCTCAGATAGGAACCAGGGGGTGTTCCTCTTGCTGCTGTTCTTTTCAAATGGCTTAGTTCTTTAAATGTTACAATACTTATTTTTGGTTCAAAAGTAACCATTTTCTTTTCCTATAGCCACCCTGAGTTAGCTTTCCTCCATCTACAGCATTTTAATTCTTCTTTTCTTTAGTCCTTAGAAGTGCTCCAGATCTCCAAGCTTCTGCTCCTCCTCTACTGTCTGAACTCTGAACTCCCTGGAAACTGCACTTTTTTTTTTTTTTTAGCCTGCTTTGATCTTTTACTTAATCTGGTTTTAATTGTATTTATATTTGTTTTATAATATGCCATTCTGTTTGATTGTGTTTTAATATCTCTGCTAGTGGTTGCAACTCAGAACTCGGCTATAATGGGATGTCTCATCTCAGTAGGGTTACTTTTTCCTGTTAAAAGATTAATACAGTGGCTGCTGCAGTCCTGTGAAACCCCTAGGTCTGGCTTCCAGGCTCCCAGCAGTATTGTGTCTCATTACAAACACCCTAATATCCCAAACCCTTTTCTTCCAAAGACCCCTCTGTAATGAGACTTCGTTACTTAGACAAAAATTAATTAGGCTTCTCTCATTATCACTGTTTTGATCGGTTGTGCTTTAAATGAGTTCTAATTAAAATGCACATTTTAAACCTTACTGCTGAATCCTATTCTAATGGCTCGCTTCTACTGCAGCAATGCCCTGCTTTTGTGCAGTTTGCATTGTGCCACTTTTACAGAAGTCTAGCACTGATTAGGATAAAAACTTACACGATTTTTTTTCTTTTTGCTTGTTTTCTACATTTTTTTTTCCAGACTGAGTGCCAAATGATTGCTCCTGAGAGTGGGGATTAGAGCTGAGATGCCAAATTCTTTGCATGTGGTAAAACTGATGAGCTGTTTCTCAGTATCCTGTATAGTCACTAACATTACTTGTCCCCAGTATGTTTCAAAACATAAGGGAGAAAACTATGTGCTGTACTTGCTACTATTTAACTGCCTATTTCTGCTTACCTTAGGTGTTCCAAGTTGCCCTTAATAGGTTATTTAAGTTGGCAGGACTGAATGATCTGTCCCAGTGATGTCTGTCACATGTTAAACTGGAGGCAGCTTTGCTGGGATGTCAGTGGATGTATTAACTGCAGCTAGAGGGGGGCACATTGAAGGTTTACTCTCCTTAATAAAGGGACTGATGTATAAACCAGAAGATGCTTACTGTAAAATATTTTGTACCCTTTAATGGCTTCCACTATGAAGCACATTGCAAAACAGTAGCAGAAAGGTGCTAATACTATCTTAAAAATGAGGAAACACGCATTAAGAAGGACAGGGCAGGTCTCAGCACAGTCTATGGTGATGCTGGGAATAACCTTCCCCTTGCCGCTGTTCTCAGTCCATCCACCTGCGAGGCATAGTTTCTTCCCGTTCACTTTCTAACATGCATGTACCACTGTCTTGTACAGAGATGTTTCTGTGTTTGGCTGATAGTTGCAGGGGTCTAAGCAAGCAGCCAGAACATAGCCACCCCTTGTCCAGAGAAAGAGGGCATCTTTTTCATGGAGGCCAGAATGCCATCCTTGAGCCTTAGAAGCTCTCTTCAGTGCCAGCACCAGATCACTCCAGATTAATTTAACATTTGCAGACATTACAGTGATTGACAGTCGAGTTGAGTGGAAAATTCCGGTTTAATCCTGCTCTGTGTGCCACAGACATGGGCTCAGACAGCTTGACCTACATTTAACCCTGGGCAGCAAGAAACTCTTAGGGGAAAAAGAAAAAAAAAAAAGTAATTTTCATCTCAAAGCAGTGAGAATGTTCCAGCTTATTACGTGCCCCTGTGTATATGCATACATGCGTAATTGTGTTACAATGCTGTGAATATTTCATAAGCTGAGCCAAGTTTGCCCTAGTTGGCTTTACTTGGTGAAGAAGCCATATAAGTCAAATATAAAAGCATGAATGTGCTGGCATAGCTGTTCAGCAGGGTTTATGGCAACAGCAAAATGTATAGGACCTAGTTCTTTCCTGACAATGGGGTTAGGATTGTAAGTGCTATAAAATTTGCTTACAGCTGCAAATTTCATAGCTCTCGGGGAAAAAGCTGATGAGCTGGTGACTTTCACTAATGTTTTGTCAGGAAAAGCCTAACAGGTAAGGCTTGACTGACTGACTGCAAAGTCAGTCTGGTTCCTTTGGCCCCCTTTGCTCTGCAGATCAAAGGCACTGATAGGCACTTTAACTGTATTTGGTTTGGATAGTGGCTGGTGCAGTATCAGGGGCGTCAGCTTCTCAACGCGAGGTGCACTGGTGCACGTTAAAAGCCCTATGGCTGAGTGATAACTACATTAGCTACTCAACATGCAAGCCCTCTCACCTTTTAAAATTATGCTGTATATTCTGCTGATATTATACCTGTAGATAAGAAAATATGCATGTTAGCTCCAGCCATATGCTAAGGGAAACAGACACTTTAAAATTATGCTCTGTCAGGAAAATTGTACCAGGTACACTAAAACTGCTGTTTGACAGTTACACAGAGAAATAAACTGCCTGTCTGAAGTAAAACTGTACTGGTAAGTCGTGCAGCTGTGGCTTAAGTGCTGCTTGTGCACTGTCAGTTTTACTTTTTTTTTTTTTTTTAAAGCAGAGTGGCTGTATGTGGGTACATACTGTGCAGAGATGTATAAATTGCTTGAATAGAGGGCTACTGCACAACCATCCAGCAATATAAAACATACTCCTGATACAAAATTAGAGTGCATTATTTTCATGGCTTTTCTAATCTAATCCAAGACAAAAATCAAAGACAGGTATTTGGCAAACTGAAGCATTAGCCACCAGCCAGCCAAGGCTGAGAAATTTCCCTTCCCCCACCAAAATTCTTCTGGAGTGTCTCTGATGTTAACACGGCTGCCACATCTGGGAGGTGGCTGAATGCCGTAGCTGTGTGCAGGCACCTGCTTTTGGGGGAACTCCAAGTCTGCTCTTGCGCAGTGCCTGGATGAAGAGCAGCGCTGTGGGTGCGAACGCGCTGGTGGGAAGCGCTAGTCGGTGCCAGCTGAGGGCATGTCACACCACTTACTGCAGAGCCTATTAAGCATGAAGGGCAAGTACAACATCTCATCTATAACTTCTCTTGTGTTCTCTCAGATCCACAACCTTATGAGCTTTCTGGCAACTCTTGGCAAAAAAAAAAAAAAAAAAAAAAAAAAAAAAGTCTGGTAAACTTGTAAACAGTAGTAAAAAAGTAATAGTAAAAATGTTGTAAAAAAAAAAGTAAACAGCTTGTGTATTTAGAGCCTAATGCTGGATCTGTGATTTTTTGGCTCCATCTGCTTTGAGACCCCATTTGGGAAGACAGCAGTAGGAACAAGGTAAAAGCAGAGTTCACAAGAGCTTGTGCTGTCTCTCCACACCTGCTTTACCACACAGAGGCTGCCCTGACACCCCTCTGAAGTTACTGGATCCATTCTGTGACTAGCCACCCAGTAGTACAGTTGTGGTTTGGACTAGGTGTAGGATCACAACTGTATTTCAGATGGATTCAACACATCATCTCAAGTGGAAACTACATCAGTTTTATGACTTTATTCTCACTGCAAGAGAACATCAGATCCTTGATTCAGCATGGGATTAAAAGGAGAAAGACAGAGACTATTTGACTCTGTAATGATTCAGTCATTGGAGTTGATGCAAAACCAGTAGCATGTTCAAGCAACATGAGATCATACTGCATTGTACATGTTAGGAAGCCATGGCACATGTAATCTGGTACAAAGTATGCTAAATCACTGGTGAACCAACAGTATCAAAACAGTGTTTGACAACAGCCTGGCCCTTCAGCTGCTCCAGTCACCTAACACAGCAGTGTCGCCACATAGTTCATGGGATACTCCTAGGGGATGCTGAAGCCCAGAGATTGCAAATGAGACCTTGCCAGTAGCACCCAGTGCTATCTTGCTGAGTT